ATTACATTTTGACAATAAAGTATATCTTCTTATTTGCTTCATTTTGTCTTGAACTCATCTATGTCTTGAGTATCTCTTTGAATATAATTGTTGATATAGCTCTGATACTGTAAAACAAATGTTAGCACATAATACACACAACATATAATATTTGTTATCATCAAAATAAACTAATCTTGGGGTCAAGATTCCTTACACTCTTAACCTCCTCACGTGTGTAGATAAAGAAACCACTTTTACAGATAAAGAAGTTATCTCTAGTCGGTCGACAGCAATCTGATCTTTGAATTTCTTCTCATTGTCGCGATGTAATTTTTGATTCATTATTATGATACTCTTCCAATAGCTCACTTGCTTAGGTAATTCCATTTGATCAACTGCCTCATTATGCTGCTCGACCGCTTCATCAATATTATGTGGTGTAATCTATGCAATGGACATATAGAGTATTATTAAAAAAGAATAATTAAAAGCTAATAGACATCATTAACAAGATATTTATAATTCACAATTACTACAATGCTTACCCATCCTTCAAGAATGATATTATCTTATGTTCTCCTTTTCTTATTGGGAAAAGACTGTCTTGGGCCAGGTGCCCTACTGGTGTCTCTAGCAACCGGTTCCTTATTCTCCTCTCCTCCTCTCTCTCTCTCTCTCTCTCTCTCTCTCTCTCTCTCTCTCTCTCTCTCTCTCTCTTCTTTTTTCTTCTCTTTTTTCCTTCTTATGCTCCTTCCCCCGCAAACATTCCTCAAGACTTTGAACTTGGTCCTGGAACTATGGAAGCTTTATAGTAGCTTGCTTTGCTTTAGCTACAATAGTGGCCAATCTCAGGGATCCCACAACATCTCCCAGTTTCACCTAATTTATGAGGGGTGGCCACGACATACTTCCCATTACTGGATTCTTGATGCCAGTTAGTTCATAGTACCAGAACTACACATGAGAGAAATAAAATCTTAACAACAAGTAAGCAACCATAACAATAAATCTGTAACCTTAACAATCAACTTGTATCCTTAACAATAAATCTGTAATCTTAACAACCAATCTGTAATCTTAACAACCAATCTGTAAACTTAACAATAAGTAAGCAACCATAACAATAAAACAGTAACCTTGACACCCAATTTGTATAAATAACAACTACCAACTATACTTAAGAACTAAACCCTAACCTTCACAATCAATAAGGCATAAACTTTACTCATTGCTCTAAATAATAAAAAGTAGGAATACTTACACAAATAAGCTGGGTATACCCTTGTAGATATACAATCTTCTTTCCTGGCCCAGGATCCTTCAATGCCTTTTTAATCGCATCAATATCTCACTGAATACATAGGTCCTCCAAGCAGTGTTATTTGTATGTTCGTTGTTGTCAACATACTTGAATAAATGCCTTAGAATGCCTAGAACACAGCTTGGACACCAGATCATACTCACCTGATAGAGGATCTGTAGCAAGACAAAGTCTTTCACATCTTGATGATCAATTGATTGTACAAGCTTCATGAGTAGATCCTCAAATGGCGTCTAGTGGGTGTTGAAGGAGCAGTTGTACTGCTGTCACCCTCTGGTTTGGAAAAAAACATTGACCAAATTCTATTTTTTCTATCTCGGTTGGGGTGAACAAGATCCCCCTCATTGGAGAACCATGTATGGCTCATTACCTAGTCAGGTTGAATGAGCACTCGATGTCTTCTCCGGTTTTTGTATCAATGAAGAAAATTTTTATCTTTTTCTCATCCCATTGTCATAGCATGTGCTCGGAAGTGGGAAGATCAAGACCAGGAGGGCCAAAATGAATGTAGTGTCGGAATACACTATCTTCATAGGCCTCCCAGTGCCTTTGCCCCATATGCACCTCTAAAGTATACATGAATTCATGGTATGCAGTGAAGCTGAAAGTAGGTCAAAACTCAAATATGGACTTTGCCTTTTGTCTACAAAAGCAAAACCATAAGACATAAATAGTTTAAAAATAATCTGTAACCATAAAATTATACTGTAAACTTGAGAAAGAAACTGTAAACATAACAAAAAATCCATAAGCTTCACAACTAAAGCCTATCATCAACGACAAATCAATAACCTTAACAATAAAAGCATAACCTAAACAACTAACAGGTCACAAGTTAACAGTAACATTCACAACTAATAAATACAAGTAAACAATAATCTCCACAACTAACAACCACCCGTCAATAGTAACCTTCACAACTAACAGTCGCATGTGAACAATAACATTCACAACAGACCCATAACCTTAACAGCCAACGTTTAACCTTAACAACTAACACACCACATATCACAACTGAACATTAACCTTCACAACAGATCAATAACCTTAATAACTAATGCATAACCTTAATGGTTATGCATAACCTTAAAGATGCCCCTTCTTGAGTAAAAGAGGATAATTATTCATGACTTTCTAATTCTTTGTGTTGGCAACTCTTTTGAACTGTCGAGATCATTTCTCTAAGGGTCGCGCAACGCTGACACTGGCAAACTCTCTTTAGAGTTATGAATTCTCTCAAGTTAGCATTGGTCCCAACTTCGCTGGTTTTGGCCTTAGAATGCAAACGTCATTTATGGTGACGTTAGCTAGAAGTTTGTCCAGCGAGATCATGGACGATGATGTTATTCCTTTGAGGAAATTTCGATGAGGAATAACCCCGATTCTTTGCTTCTGTCGGAGAAGCATAACGAGCATCATGAGATACTTTGAATAGAACTCTTAGAGGAGTCAAAATCCAAAGCCTGAGATCAGAAGTGATAACATCTTGATCTTCGCTTGAGGCGAGAGTTGAAATTCCTTCATCCTTGGTGAAGTTCGTTTGGCTTTCAGCAAAGCCCGAACAATCTTCGGTGAAGGTGGGCTTTCCATACGATGGGGTCGTTTTAGACCCGAATGTCGCACTGTGGTGAATTTTGCGACAACTGCGTACAATTGTCATCGTAGAAATTTTATTCTTGGAAATTAATTCCTCAAACTTCGCTTGATCAAATTCCGATAACCAGCATTTCAGTAAAAGACCTGAGGGTCTTGGTGTCAGCGTGCGATACAATCTTCTCGTCGGAGGAGAAAGAAGTCTCCAGCGGAGTTGTCATCCTATTTTGGGTTCTTTTAAATTGTAATTGACACAAATTACAATAAAAGAAAATGTAGTGAAACAAAGAAAAATAAATTTTTTTCATGGCGTTCTTTTTTGTGTACCGATGGAGCATCGATCTTATACTCTGTTTACTCACCGGCTAAGACGATGAGTCTTTTTGCTGTTGATAGGGCGCTTGGAAACTAGTTCAGTCTTCTCTTAGCAATACCTCCAATATGTCTTTGCACGTGTGCATGTGTATATTTGTGTCTAGGTGTCTCTATCTATCTCCGTCTCGTGTGTCTTTGTTGTAGATGATTTCCTCTCCTTTTATAGGCTAAAAGAGAGAGTTAATGATCTCCTTAAACGTAGATTAAGTGTCTAAAGTAGGAGTTAGTGGGGAGCAGTTATCCCCTAAAAATAGCTTTGAAATGACTAGTTGGGCGAATTTGACGGGCTTGGTGACGTTCGCTGAAGACGTGGGCGAGAGTCACTTCTAACGTGGACTCGTCTTCTTTAGAAGTGGATGACTTGGTCCAAGTGGGCGAAGTTTGCCAGTTGGCAAACTTCACTTATGAGTTCGAATTTAGCTTAGAATTCTAGGCTTGGCCAACTGATGATGCCTTTTGACTTGATTTGAAGCATGTTGCGAGCGGTTAACTCGTGTCTGACTTGGTCGAATCGATATGAGTTGTTTGGCGAGGTTCTCTTCAATCATCAGGTGACCTCCGCTGCAGCTTGTTGTGAGCTTCACTTTGGGCCCATTCAAAGTGTTTAGCTAATGGGTGTTTACTTCTTGGACCTTCAGTGAAAATATATTTTGACTGTCTATACCTGCCGACCTTGTGATTTTGGGTGTTGTATATGTGTTTCTGCTACTTCAATTCCGTTCTTTAGTACTATTGATTTGTACAGGAGTGTATATAAAAAATTGAGCAGGTCGACTCTCCTAGGCCCCACCTCGGTTTATTTTGGAAGGGGTAGTACACCTTGATATTTCCATCTAGATCTAGTTAGATTTCTTGTCAAATGTTAATTGCATATTAGTCTCTTTAATCATTTTAATTACCAAAATGTCCCTCAAATCTCAATATTTGAGAAAAAAGCCCCTCAAAGTATGTTTTTTTATTGCCAATTCATCCGTCTGTTAGGAAATCTATTAAATCTTATAACTGTAGTTGGGTTAAGTCTTAACCCTCCATCTAAAATTAGTCAAGTGCCCCCCCTCCCCCGAATATACTTTACCCTCTAAAGCAACTGAAACATCCTTATTCTCCAATTTTTCCTACTATGTAAAAGAGGGAAAATGACTTGGTGGGTTTTTAGGACATTATGATCCTTGAAGAAGGCTTAGTGGGTTTTAGGTTGTAGGCATAAACCCATCTTATCAAATGGGTTGGTGAGATTTTAAATGGCAGGGTGAGATTATAATGGGAAATCCATTCATTTTTTTCAAAGTTGACAAAATTTTACCCTAATTAATAACTGCACCTAACCAGAGGGACGAAATGTCAATAAAAAAGATGACTTGGAATACCTTTCCCAATTGAAAATGATTTAAGTGACTGATACACAATGACTTGTTTGTCTTATGAGAATTTGTCAGATCCACTGAGGGGCTGTTTGGTTGGCCAAAAATTCAAGGAAATCAATTATAAGAAATGTATTTCTTATAATAGTTACATTTCTTTTGTTTGGTTCACACATTGAAATGAAATAAAAAGATTATGTGACACATTTTCGTTGGCTGATATGACTCATACTAAAGGAAACATATTTCCTAGATTTTTATAAAAAAAATGAGTGGAAACATGTTCTTAATTGTTTCCATCCCAATTTTCTTTTTATTTATGTCAATTCTAGACTCAAGGAAACCAACCAAACAGCCCTGATTCAATCAAGATTGTCGCTCCAATGGCGTAAAAGACAACATCACCCCTCCGTTTGCCTTCTCTCTCTCTCTCTCTTCTATCTTTGATGCCATTCCATTTTCAACCAAAAGTGAAGTTACCGATGAAGAAAAAATACATCTAAAAATGTGGCCACGACCTGACCCACCCCCCTCTCTTCCTTCCCCTTCGGAGTAGCGAGCACGAAACCCTCTCTCCCTCTCCCAATTCAGTTCCCTTCAGGTATCATCTCCGCTGATTAATCTAATATTTTGTTTAGATATAATTCCACTTTATCTTCTTCTTCTCGATCTCAGATTAGATTAGATACGATTCCAGCATGTGAGCATGTCTCCTTTCCTTCTAACTTTAATTGTTTTTTAATATAGCTTGGTTCGTTGGTGTTTTAGTTCGCGTGTGTTTGGCTTGATTACCTTGTTTATTTCAATTGGGTGTTTGAGCTTTCTTTCTTTATCCCTTCCTTCAGCAAACCCACCTCCTTTTTTTTCTCCTTTAATTGTGATGTTTGTTGGTACAGGAGTTGGACCCTCTTTTGAGATCTACTGTTGTGTCGTCCTCTTCTGTGCTTGAAAGGTGAAGGGTGTCTCTATTCAGGTAAGTTTGAGTTGGGATTCTTTTTGTTAGTGTAATTTTGATAATGGGTTCTGCTTCTCAAGTTCCTTAGTGCATGATCATCTTGCATTTTGGATAGTTGAGTTGGGTTTTGCTTAGTTTTGTCCTTTGACTTGATGCTCTATGGATCTGGGTTTGTTAGGCAGCACCGCAACCTTGGGTGTTTCTATTTACATTAGTTTGTTTGCATATCTCAATATTATTGATGGTTTTTTATTACGGGTTTCATAGGATTTGATGGTTTTACATTAGGTTGGATGTGTTACTCAATTCTGAATTGTTTCAAATAAGTTCTGCGTGTACCTTCTAAGGCGGTTGTAGAAAGCGGTCTCCTATTTAGGATGCAAATGGCAATCTGGTTGTTGATCGTTTAATGAGATAACTTCTTGTTTACTTCTAGCTTTACTCAGTCTTACAGTTAGGGATCTTGATTGTTCAGTGAATGATCAACCCTAAAGATTGGGATAAGTGCTTTGTTATTCTTGATTATCTTTGTAGTGGATGTATGTGAAATTCATAAAAGCTCGATTTCATTTCCTAGGTTTACATGTTGAAACAAAATTTATGATAAGGGTCCCACCCCAAGTTGTATGCTCGAAATATTTAGCGTTTATTTTGGTAATGCAATTGCTTGATAATAACTAATAAAAGTGACAGTTAAACTTGGTCAAGTTTTGCTACTTCCTTAAAGCCCTACTAATGCACCAAAAGTTACGAAGTTGTGATGAAGGTTAAAGACTGTATCTTTATATTCTAACCTCTCTTTCGTATGTAATTGGCTTCTTTTGTAGGCCAATATGTGGTTTCTTGGAAGTGTATTATTTTTTAGGATTTTTTCTTATAAACCCAAAGTTCTACTCTCATTTATCAAAAAACCCACCTAGTTCTATATGTTCTCATAAACTATACTTATCAAGTTTTCTTATCTTTAATCAAAGTATAGAACATAATACTTTTATATAATGTATTTGTACCGAAAATTCAATATTCTCAAAGGCCCATATCTCATTCTCTCTTCTCTTTGTAGAAAAATAAACGACCACAATCTCCAATGACTCCTTCTCCACCACCTCACCTCCCCTCTCCACTCCTTCCTCTTTACCATACCCATCATCTCTTATGGCTTTCTCTCCTCACTCTGCCGGAGATGCTCCCCTCACATCAAATTCCTCTTTGACTCTACATCATCCGACGATCCTCTCCTTACCTTTCGGCCTACCACCTCTATCCATTAGAACACCCTCATCGCGCCTTCAAGATTAAAATTCGATGAAAACTCAGAAACCAACAAATTTCAAGGAATCACACTTCTTACAGGCATACCATCAAACACCTTGCATGCAATTTGAGAACTTGATTAAATTCGAGAAGGTGAAATTGTCAGGAGAGCTGGATCCCTTTAGAAATAGAGAGAACTCTAAATATTCTCAATATCCAAGGCTTACTTGAATAATTGAGTTACACAAGAGAATAGAGTTGTCAATGAAGTAGAGTTGAAAAGGGACTTGATGTAGGAAGTTGAAATTGGTACATAAAGCGATGAGGTGAGAGAATAGCAATGTTTTAAGTGTCGGATGTCGGGTTTATGTCAGATGTCTAAAATTCATGCCGGATAGCGAAAATATGAGATATGTCGTGAGACATGAAATAATTATCGGATTGCTATATCAGATTGTGTGCATGTGTGTAATATAATATCCCAAATGACATCCAAACATAATTAATAAATTCTATTACCTAAACATATAAAAAAATAATTAACTTATGATGTTTAAGATCACTGATTGACTGTAGACACTAATTTCTTTATAGTTCAATTATACAAACATTTTCTTTGCAGGTTGTTGCCTTGACCTTTTTGGTTCTATGATAGAGAGATGAAAGAGAGACTGAGAGAAAGAGGTGAATGAGAGTGAGAAGGGGGAATGAGAGATTGAGATCGAGGGAGAGGGATCCGAGGGAGAGTGTGAGAGGGAGAGGGAGAACTAAGAGGGAGAAGGAGAGACTTGATAGAGAGACGAAGGAAGAGACATAGAGGGAGAAGGAGAGACTAGAGAGAGATGAGAGAGAACTTAAGAGGAGACTGAGAGGGAGAAGGAGAGGAAGAGAGGTAGATAGATTGCTTTCTTTGAAGCTTTAGTTTCCACATTCTACTCCTCACCGTCAAACCATAGTTTCCCTGTAACCATGAGAGAGAGAGAGAGAGAGAGAGAGAGAGAGAGAGAGAGAGAGAGAGGTACATTACCTTTGATGTGATGAGAGCCCTAGTGTTGAGGAAGGCCGAAGAAGAAGATGAAGGGGTAGGGAGTTCTGATAGAGGGTATCGCAGTTGATTTGGGCAAAAAAAGCCCTAAAGCAGAGATATAATTCATATTGGGTTGGGTCGGGTTTAGCCAACTTAACCTAATAAGCTTACATCACAATTTCCTGAAATCGACCGATTTTTCTCTCTCGAAATATCACCCAACATGGTGGAATTTTTTCCGACATGTTGTTGTGAACCTAAAAAGTAAAAACTTAGATACCTTAATATCATGGCATTTAGGTGTTTAAACCGAAATGTTGGCCGTCATGTCGTACATTGCGGTTGACATTTAGAACATTGGAGAAGAGGATGACCGGAAGAAAGAAGAGGAAGTGAACATGGATTTGTTTGGCTTGTGGAGGAGTGAAGCATCATTGGGGAAGGAAGAGAAAGAGCTTCACCAGAGGGGGGATGAGAGGAAGCCATTGGAGATGATGAGGTTGAGAGGAAGGAGGGGAGAGGGAGGTGAGGTGGCGGAGAGAGGAGGAAATCATGATCGGAGATGATGAGTTCTTTTATTTTGCTACAGATAGAAGAGAGAATGAAGCATGGACGTTTTGGGAATATAATTTCTTCATACAAATTAATTTTACAAAGTACTCTTCCATATTTAGGGTTTAAAGGTAAGCAGATTTTGTATCTCGAGTATATAGGAACATATACAACTAGGTGGGTTTTTTCATAAATAGGAGTATAACTTTGGGTTATAAGCAAAAACCTCTATTTTTTTATCCATTAAATTGCATGCTTACTGGATTTGTATTATGGTGGTTTTTCAACTTTCTTGAAGTCCCTATAACTGCACCAAAGCTGTGAAGTTGAAGTAAAGGTTAATAGTCACATCCTTTTGTTATTTTGTTATGGCTATAGACCGCCAAAAAATTGATTAATTCTTGTCCTGGGCTTGAATTCATCCTCAAATTTATTGCAAGTCTTCATCCAAGAAGTGTGTGTTTGAGGCAATAGGATATACATTAAAAATTCATGTTCATAAAAATTAAGTCCCTTTAAGGGAAAATATGATGATCAACTTTCTAACCAGGGAAATGCTAAACTCAGTTGCAATCTTAACTGGAATGTTTCAGAAAGTAAAATATCTATTTACTAATTTACATTGAGACATCATATTATTCGAAATATAATTTTGTGGTCATGTTTGATTATGTTTTCACTTTTCAGGAAATACATGAGCTTGATATATTTAGCCAATAAGAAAATGATAGGACATGCTCGATTAATCCATTATGTAAACATATGTGGATGTGCATATCTTAGATTTGCAAATCATGATAAAACATGGAAATGCAGATTCTGTTAAAGAATATCAATGATGTTTACATATAATTAAATCATTTCCAGAAAGATAACTGGTTGTTCTTGGTACAACTATAGTTGATATATTTCATGATGTTGAAACCAAAATTTTATTGTGGAAAAGACAGTAATTGTAGAGGAATAGGAAGCCGGAAAATTTGGCTTGATTTTTTTTTTCAATTTCTCCTTTTTGACTTGTATCTTGTGGCGTCCTAGAATAAAAGAGGAGATAAGATTAGATCACAGGGAGAGAGTAGAAAGAGAAGGCACGTAGGATAAATAAGAAAGAAAATAGCGATTACAACAGCAACTCACATCAAATGAAGAAAGCAGTAGTTTTCAGATAAGATAAACAAAAAATTTGTTGATAAAAGGACATTGCACTAAATTATCTTAACCTTTGGCAACTTTCATCTGGTTGACCAATCTAACATCGATAATTTAGGCTTGGAAATCACCTATATGACAAACCTAATTGTCTGGGCAATCACCTATATGACAAACCTAATTGTCTGGGCAGAGTGTTATGAAAATGTACCACTTCGAAAGTTCGATATGTTAAAGCAGATGCTAACTTTAGGTTTGTGCGGACTTTACCATTCGTAACCTCTTTTAACTTTTAGATTTAGGGGAGGTGACAATTATTTTGGTTGAACTTTTCACATTCTGAGCAATCTAAATTCTAAAATAATATCAGGAAATGTCTTTGCCAAAATTTTGTGTTTTGGATCATGATTACATACACATTTCTTTGCATGCCTGTGTGCATTCATTTGCATGCGCCTGCATATTATGTATGATTCAAGGGAATTCATCCTTAAAAGGAATTTATATTCGATAATCAAAATTGCAAGTCATATGGGTAGAGCTTGTATTTAAAACCATTGTCTAAAATCGAACCTTAGATGTTTAAAATTTATGAAGATTAAGAGCTAAAAAATTTGAAAGGGAGGAAATCAAAGTTGTTTATAAGGTAACTTGCAGAGGAATATATCATATAGGAATAAACTGGGATCACTAGGATATGAGGGGGAATCATTACTGTGGGAAATTTATGATTGGCTACTTAAATAAGAAGCATAAAGTTAGGTTTGATATGCAATATCTAAAAACGTCTTCTAGGGGGTTGGAAAATCAAAGTAGTGAAGTTGTTCATTAGTTAGTGAAAGAGAATCATTGGATATTTATGCTTCAATGGAATTAAAGCATGCGTAATTTGTTTCATATCTATTCCACATTGTGTAGGCCGTGACTGCTAGAGTGGGTTTATGGTTTATGCAATGTTATATTAAACGTTGGGCTCTTTTAGACGTCGGACTTGACGCCCAGCGCTTAGATGCCTAGGCGGGCACCTAAGCGGTTT